TCCTCTCCCTGTCCACCTGCTCGCTTGCCTCATCATCTCTTAGGGCTCCTCTGGCCGCAGTGACCTCGGAGGGCTCTTATGCCTGCAGTCTCTGCCTCCTTGCTGACCTTCACCCTCGTAGTTCCAAATGTATCTCTCTGTCCGAGATTCCCAACTATGATCGATTGTAGCTTTAGACCCATATTTTCAACTGCCTGCCAGCTGTACCTTAAAAATCTCCGTGCCCCACCCGCCACCCTGCCCATCTCAGTACAAGGCATGATGTTGCCATCTCCCTGGCTACCCAAGTACAACACTGGGGAGTTTGGCTATTTTGTGATGTGGTACGACGAGAAGCCAGATGAGAGGATGCCGAAGAGATAGTGGGAAGAAGCAAGAAAAGGGCTGGTGCTTTTGAGAAGCTAGAAAGAGGAAGAGAGAATAGGACTTATGGTTGGAGGGAGGTGTTGAGTCAAAGGTCATTTCCTTTTTCTTCTTCTTCTCAAATGGATGCTGTCAGGACACCTGTGTATGTCTACAAATGGATTGAAGTCTGTCCAGGAGAGGGAGAGAAACTGACTAACCAGAAGATGGGTGGGCTTTCTCCCCGAACTTTGCTGTCATAGAGGCAATGCTGACTCATAGCGACCCCTTGTGGGTTGTTTATGGAAGTACAAAGCCCCGTCTGGAGTCCTGGTGGGGTGGTGGTTACACGTTGGGCTGAGATCCGCATGGTCGGCAGTTTGAAACCACTAGCAGCTCCTCAGGAGAAAGACTGGGTGGGCCTTCGGAGTGGAGAATTTCTCCCAAGAGGAAGGACTTTTGAGTCTGGCCAAGTGGCAATGACATAAAGAAATTGACACCAAGGCTCATCATCAGAAAACTGCTGGAAACAACTAGCGAGACTTTTCCTTCACATCAAAGGAAAGCGCTTCCAGATGGAAACGCAGAGCTACATCTTTAAACCATAAAGCGTCTTGGATATGGTAGACATGTAGGGCCACAGAAGAGGTGTTTTCGTGGGGGCTTAATCGAAACTGTAGAAGTAAAACAGGTGGCAAACAACCTAGAGGATGGGCCCGGAGTCCATGAATGGCTATTATTTGACAGGAGATGGTGCAAAAATGAAAGATTCATATCATAAGCCCTGGAGCAAAGTGAAGATAAGAAAGTATCTGGCATTTTTAATGAATGCAAAGGAAACCAGAGAGAACGGAACAAAGAACAGAAGGAACAAACAGAACCCAATCCTTCATGCAGAGCACAAACAGAACAGCCAGCAAGTCCAGATTGTCACAGTGATTCAGAGAAGATGATAAAGCACATGCTGTCTGGGATGGTGACCTGTGGCTCAACCTGGCTGGGCCCAGATTCTCGGTGATTTGGTCTGACTGCTTTATGATGCAGTCATCCCCCAGGGTGACATCTCTGTGCAGCCAATCACTGGAGTGGGGAGTTATCACAGAGGCGTGGCCTACATCCCATAGACTCCTACACGGATGCTCAGGTCAAGCTCTCTGGGATTTTGCTCGATCTGGATCCTGCATCTAGCTTGTGAACATCACCTGGCCTCCAGTTGTCTGGACATGAGCCTGCTGTATGTCTTGGCAATCCTTGTTAGCTAACAGCCTGCCTTCTGACTAGTTGATCTTGGGTTCATTAACCCATCATGAGAAGTCTAACCACATAGCCAATCCTTGAGTTCACCCTCTCCCTTTACATCTGACCCCCAAAGCCAAAGCCGCTGAGTCAATGCTGACTCAATAGCGGCCCTATAGGACAGGGCAGAACTGCCCCTGTGGGTTTCTGAGACAGTGACTCTTGATGGGAACAGAAAGCCGTCTTTCTCCCCCTGAGCGTCTGCTGACCTGCCACTATGTCACTAGGGCTCCCCTCTCTACATATTGCTCCTACGGTGCTAGCTCATCCTAAAAACCAACCAAACCAAGCCAACCACCACACTCATTGCTGCTGATTCCGAGTGAACCTATAGGACAGAGAACGGCCTCTTTAGGTTTCCATCTTTCTCCTGCAGAGCAGCTGGTGGGTTCGAACTGCTGACCTAGCAGGGAACAGTCTAACATGTACTCCACTGTGCCTCCAGAGCTCGTCCAGTTCATACATGCAGGGGGTCATTCCAAACAAAATGCGTTTAAACAGATCTCTGCAATCAGTGGCTAGCTGCTAGTAAGCTCTCGCAGTCATCGACGTGTCTCCTCAGGGGCCTTCACATAAGGGGTCCAATCCACAGAATGGCTGGCTTCCGAGGGGATCTGTTAGACCAGTTAAAGCCAGGGCAAAAAGGTCAGCTCAGGTTGTAAAAACTGGTTTTGTGTTTTGGCTTCCCAATGGCTCATCCTGTGAGATTTTCTTAAAGGATACAGGATGATCACGGGGGCTTATTATGAAAAAGTTTTCGATGAGCAAGTGACCGGGAAAGTTAGGCTGAGCAATCTGCTCCCATCATGATAATGTAGCTGTTCATTCTCTGAGGGGAACAAGGACTGCTTTCGGAGAATCTCATTGGGAAACCTTCCCCTCTCCACCCTCTGCCCCTGATCTTGCCCCTTTAGGCTTCTTGTTCCCCAATGTCAGAGAACATTGAAAAGGAACATGATTTAATTCCCTTGAAAATGTCAAACCCGCTATTTTGATGTGGTGTAAGTCAAAGAACACAAAATTCCTTGGCGAAGGGTTAACCAAAAGAAACCCCCCAAACTGGAGGCCACGGAGTTGATGTGGACACATAGCAACCAGACTGTAACTCTTCTTGGGAGTAGAAAGCCCCGTCTTTCTCCGGTGGCGTGCCAGTGGTTCTGAATTGCTGGCATCAAGTAACCACAGCGCCCCCAGGAGTTAAGAGATGAAAATATTGCCTTCAACAAACCTCGGTGGAGAAACAATAGCTTCACATTTGGTTCTTTTTGCATAATGTTGTAGTCATGCTTGCTTACTTAACCTCATCAGTGTTATGGGGGGAAATGGAATTGAAAACGAAGAAAAATACAACTTTCCTCTAGTTCCTAAATGCTTCCTGCCCCCCACCCCCTCACTATCATGATCCCAATTCTCCCTTCCAAGTCTGGCTAGACCAGAGGATGTACACTAGTACAGGTAGGAACTGGAAACACAGGGAATCCAGGGCAGATGATCCCTTCAGGACCAGTGGTGTGAGTGGCGATACTGGGAGGGTAGAGGGAGGATGGGAACCAATTACAAAGATCTACATGTGAACTCCTCCCTGGGGGACGGACAACAGAAAAGTGGGTGAAGGGAGACGTCAGACAGGGCAAGATATGACAAAATATTAATTTATAAATGATCAAGGGTTCATGAGGGAGGGGGAAGCGGGGAGGGAGGGGAAAAATGAGGAGCTGATACCAGGGGCTTAAGTTGAGAGCAAGTGTTTTGAGAATGATGAGGGCAATGAATGTACTAATGTGCTTTACACAATGGATGTATGTATGGATTGTGATAAGAGTTGTGTGAACCCCTAATAAAACGATTTAAAAAAAAAGAAAAGAAAAATAGACTTTGTCTCTCATAGACAAGTTTTGCTTCTCTAGCTCTGGTGGTATAGTGGTCCCATAAGGTCAGCAGTTCGAAACCATCAGCTCCCATTAGTTGCAGTTTCGGAAACCCACAGGAGCAGTTCTACTCTGTCCTATAGGGTGACTGTGACCCAGATGGCTGTGGGTTTTTGTTTTTGTGGTTTTTGAGAGAACCCAGCCTAAGATACCGCCTGTGATACATGCACTTTCAATAAAGACAAACAAGAGAGGTGACATGAAAGGAGAAGAGGCAGAGCTCAAAAAAGCTGGAGGGGGGCTCTATTCGAACGTAGGAGACACAACTAAGTGTAGGCGGGATATTGCTGCGATAAGGAGGGGCAAGTCCTAACACCCAGCATCCTCACTCCTCGGCACGTAGGGACTCAAGGCGGGACCTTTTACGGACAGGAAGCACACTTGGACTGATCACACAGGGAACAGTCTCTGACCACAAGGGAGTGGAATTGGAAACCCATCACATAAGGACGACTTGCAAAATCTCCACATATTTACAAATGAAACAATTCACTTCTCCGTCAGTCACTGATTGAAGGCTAAGTGAGGAGGCAACCAGACGCTCCGTGACATCCCGGAATTCGGGGGAGGCCGCTAATGCGGTCCTGAGGGCAGAAAAGGCCCAACATCCAAGACCTGCGCTTCTGCCTAGGAAGCTGGCAAATGAGAAGCAAATTAAACTCCAAGTAAATCAAAGGCAGGAAACCAATGAAACAGATGACAACAAACAAACAATACACATCAGGGCAATCGGAAATTATCAATGAGATGGAGAAACTCATATTTAGGCTGATAAAAAAAGGAGACAAGAATGACCATGAATCAGGAATAAAAGATGGAACATCACCACAGATAAGGAGAAGGGAATCTTGTTAATTTCATGCCAACTTAAGTGAAATGGACAGAATCTCTGAAAGACGATGACCCAAACTGACACAGAATAAACAGAAAATGTAAACGGCTTGATGTCGAATGACATAAATGGCATTCAGAGTTAAAGACCGATCCACAAATAAAACTCCACTGTTGAATTCTATTAAACATCTCTCAAGACCACCACGCATTAAGGAGAAGGGAACACTTTCCAACGTTTTTTATGAAGTTAGCATTTACCCTGATAGGAAAAACAACCCCTGAAAATGACAGATCCGTATTCTCCAAGATCACCGAATTAGCATCATAACCAAGCAAAGTTTTTAATATAAGAGATACACCATAGTAACAGAATGAAGATGAAAAATCTGACCACTTCAACAGATACAGAAATAGCACAAGAAGAAATGTGATACCCCTAAAAGTTCAAACTTCTTCCACCTCACCAAATACATCTATGAACATCCTGCAGCAAACACTTTCTCCACTTTAATATTGAGACCAAGGCAATGATGTGTCCACTTTTACTTTCCTCGGGGTCTTGTACAATAAAGAATGAAAAGGAGCCAAAAGGCAAACAGATTGGGAAGGGAATAAAACTGTCTTTATTTGCTGATGAAATGTCCGTGTACAGAGATAAATTCAGGGCCATCACTCCAAAACTACTAGTGCTAGTAAGTGAATTTAATCAAGGGCACAGGTCAATGAATAAAAATCAATTGTATTTCCATAGACAATGAACGGAGATGCCATTTACAACTGAATCAGGAAACATACATGGCTTCGGGCAAACTGGAAGGGTGAGTGGCCCTGGCCCCAGCAAAAAAAAAACTGGGCAGACCGTCTAGAATCTTGAGATGAAAAGCCCTGGGAATCACCATGTTTCTGGTGCAACAGATGACACAAATTACAGTCCGAGATGCAATGCGCGGGGGTTTGATTACTCAAGGACGGCTTGGCTGTCAGCAGTATCTAGCTTCCTGGTGCCTGTAGTGTGACTCGTGAATCATCCCAAGCCTGTGCTCTGGCCAGACAGCTTTCAAAGACACCCAAGAGGGCACCAGGGCACATGTGTGGGACGGATGCTTGTGTCAAAAAAATGTTTGCTTTCCCTCCCTCCTCTCAGGGCCTGGCTCTGGACTTCCCTCCTTCCTGGGCACCTCACTGTTTGGGTAACACAGGGTTGGGCCTGGCTGCACGGTAAACAGCGACGCTTCCATCACCATCAGTGGCTGGACGCTTGCAGCATCCCAAGAGCCCACGGGGCTGGTGACGCCTGGGGGCTGCAGGGGCAGCCGGATGTGGTGCACACTTGCCTTGGGGTAGAGGGACTCAGAACCCCTGCTGCTTGCAAGTAGGCCGAGGCACAGGACAGCCACACTGCAATTCCCCACATTACCAGCAGCCGGGGAGGCTCCGGTGATGCACCTGCTGCATTCTAGGCAAGCCCTGCCTCGATTTCAGGGAACTGGTTCCCCCCTTACCCTGACTCTACCGGTACCCTTTCTCTCTGGCAGCCAGCAACCCAGGCCTGAACTCCCCATGCCCCTCAGACAAGCTCCGAAAGCTGATCAACGGCCTGGTCGATCGGTGAGTGCTGACACCTGTCTCCCTCCGGGGCTGGTGCCCCCACACCTGTGGCCCTTGAGCTGCCACAAGGCCTTGGACTTCTGGGTGTGGGCATCTGCCCAGGCACACGCTCAGCTCTGGAACTCGTCACTCTCTTCGGGTCCCTGCTTGTCCCCAGGGCCCAGGCCTATGGAAAAGAGAGGCGAGGCCCCTGAGGCAGCAGCTCTGCCAACAGCCGTGGGAGGGCAGAGGCCCGAGGGATGCCACGGTCTGGGGCAGGGTCTTTCTCAGCTGCCATGGGGCAAGTGGTGGTACCTGGGAGGGAACTGGCTGAGAGCAGTTGTAGGCTGTCCAGCACCCCGTCTTCGTAGAGGGCCAACTTCTGCACCATTTTCTGTCGGGCAGGGTTGATGACAATCTGCAGTGGCTTGGATGAAGGAGTGCTCCCTGGCAGTGACCCTGGGGGCAGAGCATCCTCTTAGCTGATATGGCTTGAAGCCTGGGCCCTACCTCCCAACACCCTGCACCCATTGCACACCTCCCTGCTTTTTGGTGGCCGCTGGCTGTCCCCTGCTCAGACTCCCGCTGGGTTCTCAGGGGAAAAGGACTAGGACCTAAGGACTTCCCCCCTCCCCAGTGAAGCATTACAGGCCTCTCACGGTGAGCAGCTGGCTAGGCCTCTTCCCGGTGGGTACCTTCCAAGGCCGTGGGCCAGGACCCCGGGCTGCTCGCTGAGCTGGACTCCTTCCCAGTGGCGCCCGCCTGAGTGCAGTCAGTCAACCCAAGGGGTGTCGGTTCCCAGGAGGTGGCCAGGGCTGGGGTGGGGCTGGGGCTCAAGTGCCAGGAACACAGGGCGCCAGAGAGCCCGGCCACACTCTCGTCGCTCTCCACAGGCTGGTTGAGACCCGGCCCAAGTGGGTCTGCAGCCTGGGTCAGGCCTCGGGATGGTTCTGCCAGGGGCGGCCTGGGGGCAGCCCTGCTCAGGGCAGCACCAGTGGTGGACATATAGGAGTTTTCCTGTGGGGAGGGTGGGCCTCGGCCAGTGACCTCAGGTTCCAGGGTCAGCCTAGTCACCGCCTGCAGCTTCTCCAGCGCCTCGTACACCTGCAGGGCAGAATCGGCTGTCTGGGGGCCGCCCAGAGTGCTCGGGCCCTGCCAGACCACCTTAAGAAGAGGCCCCAATATTGGGCAGTCCACAGGCCCTGTGCAGCACCTGCTCTCAAAGCACTGGCCTGCTCCTGCCCCGTTCACCCCAGGAGCCCGTATCATGGCTAGCCACACTCAGGACTGCAAGAGGTTTCTCTGTATCTGCTAGAAAGTAAACTGCATTGCCCTGCTGCCCGCAAGTTGGGCTGCCTACCTCTCTCAACTGTCACCAGAGGGGACAGAAAAGTATAGGCGCAGGGACTGTGTGCTCCCAGCAGGGGGCGAAGTGCAGACAGTGATAGGCGAACTTGCCTGCTGAAGGAAAATGCCAGAAAGTGTGGCCGGCTCCCTGTGAGGGCTACCTGGGTCATGGGGGGCCGCTTCTTGGCCCGGCGGTGCAGGCAGCAGCTGGCTAGTTGGCCTAGGGGTAGGCCAAGCTCAGGTGGGCAGGGCCCGGGCCCAGGGTCCACATGCTTCGTGAAGATACGGGCTGCGATGGGGACAGCCCAGGCAGCGGTAGCCAGGCCTGCCTGCGCTGTGGTGTGGGCGCCCGTGAGGGCCACCCCGACCTCCTCTGCCTCCTCTGCAACCAGGTCCTTCTGTGGAGCAGACAGACACGTGGACAAGTCCCTCAGCCCCTAGCCCTCCGGAACCCAGACTGGTTCTTAAGTCCATCCCCTTCCCAGAGGGGACATGCCCTGTGTCCAGTGGGCCCTTGGGAAGGTCAGGTTGGGCACAGGACAATGTGTATGGTCAGGCTGTTAAAGAATTGGTCTTGTACCCTCCCAGGGGCCCTGGTGGTGGCCCAGAGAACAGTCAGGCAGGGGAGACCAGCAGGGGACAGAGGAGTCTGGGGACAGGGAGGGCAGTGAGCTGCTCTCTGGGCCAGAAGTAGATGAGGTGTCTGTTCTGGGCTCATCAAGGGCCCTAGGTCTGCTTTGCTGGTAGGCACATGGAGGCCCAGGGAGGAGCAAGCTGTTCTCCCTCCCAGGTTGACAGCTGGGACCTGAACCAGGTTCTCCAGTCTCAGGGCCAAGGGCGGTTCCCCAGAAGAGATGGGCAGGGCTGGATGCCAAATCAGCCCTGAGGCCTTTGACTACCCCCACCCAGCTGTCGCGCCCCCCCCCCTCCGTCTCCCCTGAGGTTGGCTCACCAGATACTTAGTCCTGGTGCCCAGCGTCCTCACAGCCCTCTGGCCTGTCAGGGTCTCCAGCACAACCTGGGAGGGCAGAGCCACGGTCACATTCGCACGGTCGGGGACTAAAGGGGCAGAGGCCCTTAAGACGAGCAGGTGTCCCAGAAGGGGCAGAAGGCAAAGAGGCTGGGAGGGGCCTCTGCTCCTCCTCCCCGCTTCATGTCTTCCAGGTCAGCCCCCAGGCAGCCCAAGGGCAGCAAGCAACTCACCACACCGAAGCTGAAAGCGTCGGTCTCCACAGCCAGCTTCCCGCTCTTGACGTACTCACTGGGCAGGTAGGCCAGTGTGCCACGCACTGTCTGGGTTCGGGCCACAGTGCTGCTCTGTCCTGGGCTGGCACTGCTCAGGCGGCTAAAACGGGCCAGGCCGAAGTCCCCCAGCTTGGGCGTCAGTCTCTCATCCAGAAGGACATTAGAGCTGGGGAGGGAAGGACGAGTCTAGCCATCTATCTGCTGCCAGTGGCCGAAGGCTGGGGGGTACGCCCACATAGTCCTCCCCACAATTCCTTCACCCAGTTCTGGCCTTGACCTCCGTTTCTACCAGGTCTTGGAATCCTCCTGGGTAGGTCCCGGCCGTTCCCTGCCTCACCTCTTGACGTCTCCGTGAACAAGGCTGGGGCTGTTCTGGTGCAAAAACTGAATTGCCCGGGCAGTGCCCAGGAGGACGTCCATGCGCTGAGGCCAGGTCAGGGGGGCACAGGCCTGAGGCTGGAGGGTAGAGAGACACAGGCAGCTTGGAAGGTGGCCTAAGACCCCACCCCTCCCTGCACCTGTGGCCTATTCACTCTGGGCTGCTCCCTCTGCCGAGGAAACAAAACAAAACAAAACAAAGCACAACCAATCCCGCTGCCAAAAAAATCAGTTCCAACTGGGACAAGTAGAACTGTCCGCAGGGTACAGTAGCAGATGGCCTCATCTTTCCCCCACGGAGAGCCTAGTGGGTTCGAACCACTGAGCTTGCCGTTAGCAGCCCAACGAAGGCTCAAGTAGATCTTCTCTAGAAAGAGGGTCAAAGTTACCACTAGCTACTTCTCAAAGGGGCTGGAATTGAGCGAGGCCACTGCTCCCAGGACTCAGCATAAACTAGGTCCTGAGGCTCCCAGAGTTGGCAGCATGCAGCGTGCTGGGCTCCCTCCCCGGTGGCACAGGTGAGAGGACCGGGAAACCCCCTAGCCGCCAGGAGCTGCCCACTGCACTCTTGGATGGCTGTGCTTGTAGGAGGGAGGCTCTGGAGTGGGGAGGGGGGTTGCTTCAAGGGGTGGCGGACCCAGCAACAAGCAGAGGGAGGCCATCAGGACAGGTCCTTGGGGAGGCCGCCTCTGGCCCACGGTGGGGGACTACCTGGCCGTGGAGATGATCTTCCAGGGAGCCGTTGGGCAGGAAGCCGTATACCAGGCAGTAGAAGCCACCCTGGGCACAGTAACCGGCGAAGTCCACGATGTTCGGGTGACGAAACCTGCTTGACAAGGCAGGGACTGAGAGGCCAAGCCTGGCCCAGCATACTGGCCCCCAGGTGCTGCCCATGAGGTGGCCTGGCAGCTCACCGGGACAGCTGCTCCACCTCAGTCAAGAAGCTCCTCTTTACTGCGCCCCACTCCAGGTCAGCATCCTGCAGGCCCGGCGGGTGGAGGGAGGCGAGCTGTCAGGCCTGGTGGGCCCAGGCTGGCCACCACTCCCATTGTCCTCCTCCCCACCGCCGGCCCCAGCACCTCTTTCAGCTTCTTCACAGCGTACACCGTGTGCCTCATCACAGCCCGGTACACGCAGCCGAAGCCGCCCTCGCCAATCTTGAGCTCCTCAGAGAAGTTGCGGGTACCCTGGGTGACCTCCGGGAGGGGCCAGCAGAATGGGGCAGGGTAGGCCCCCTGCGGGAAGACTAGTGGGTCCTCGGGGCTCAGCTGTGGAAAGAGACCTCCAGGGAGGTGGGCCGGCTCCCCTGGTTCGGGTTGCCCCTCCTCCGCCACCAGCTCCACTGCCCCACCCCAGCAGGCTGCAGCCCCGGAACTGGAGCCATGCGGGTGCACCCAAGGCGGCATTCCTTCCTCCTGGCCTGGCACACCTGCCCTTAGGGCTAAGGCCACCTACCTGGGTGGAGGAAGGGGCTGGAATTGGCACTGCTGGCTGGGGGGAGGCAGGGGGTCCGGCAGGGCCGAGTTCGGGACCTGAGTGGATCTGGGCGTCTGCAAAGGCGAGAGGCCACGGTCAAGGCGGTCCTCCTCCAACCCCCCACCAGGCAGCCCTAGATCGTACCTGGGGACAGGAGGGTGGAGGCTGCGCGCTGCGCTGTCCTGAGGCTCGTGACCTCGGTCTCCAAGGGGTCAGAGATGCTGCTGGGACCAAGAGCCCGAGTGGGAGGGCTGGGGGGCGGGAGAGGGGCGGGAGGGTGCCCTGGCGCGGCAGGAGGAAAGGAAGGGCAAGTATAAGTGGCAGTCAGCGGGCCTGCCCCTTCCTCCTGCCCCCGGTCCGCTGACACCCCACTCCCCGCCCTCACAGGCCATGATGATGTCTCGAGCACGAAGCAGCTGCAGGTGCGTCAGGATGCGCACGAGGTCGGCCACGCGGGCGTTACGGTTGATCCAGGGCCACAGGACGCTGGCCGTGCGCTGGCCCGAGCGCTCACAGAGCCGCAGCTCCGTCTGGTCTCGCACGATGAGGGCCGCTGTGGGGCGGGGG